AAGCATCCCGAGCTCTGAGGATTACCTGGGAAGGAATCCCACTGGAGCATTGCAGCGCACACAAATACCTGGGAGTCACTCTGGACCGTGCTCTGACCTACAAGAAGCACTGCCTGAACATCAAGCAAAAAGTGGGTGCTAGAAACAATATCATACGAAAGCTGACTGGCACAACCTGGGGATCACAACCAGACACAGTGAAGACATCTGCCCTTGCGCTATGCGACTCTGCTGCTGAGTATGCATGCCCAGTGTGGAACACATCTCACCACACTAAAACAGTGGATGTGGCTCTTAATGAGACATGCCGCATTATCACAGGGTGTCTGCCCCACACCACTGGAGAAATTACACTGCTTAGCCGGTATTGCACCACCTGACATCCGCCGGGAAGTAGCAGCCAATAGTGAAAGGACCAAGGCAGAGTCATCTCCAGCTCATCCCCTGTTTGGGTATCAGCCAGCACGTCAACGACTTAAATCAAGACATAGTTTTCTAAGATCTACAGAGACACTCGCTGGAACACCTCAGCAAGCGAGAGTCCAAAAGTGGCAGGCCCAAACCCAGCACCTCAATCCATGGGTGATACCAGATGAGAGACTCCCCCCTGGGCACACAGAAGACTGGGCGACTTGGAAGGCGCTGAACAGACTGTGCTCTGGCACCACGAGATGCAGAGCCAATCTTAAGAAATGGGGCTACAGGGTGGAATCCTCGGCATGCGAGTGCGGAGAAGAACAAACCACTGACCACCTGCTGCAATGCACCCTGAGCCCTGCCACATGCATGATGGAGGACCTTCTTGCGGCAACCCCAGAGGCACTCCAAGTGGCCAGATACTGGTCAAAGGACATTTAACCAAATACCAAATTTGCAAAATCTGTGTGTTTTTTTTCTTTTTCTTTTTAATCTGTGTGTTTGTTTTGCTCTGTTAGAATTGTAATACAATGGTTGCTGATGACACGATAAATAAATAAATAACCTATGATGTCAATTACTGGCGTCTCTCATTGTTTTAGGTGGAAGAACTTGTACAATTAGTATCTGACTAAATACTTTTTGGTATCTGACTAAATACTCCCCCCCCCCCCCCCCCACTGTAGGTGAATGTTAGGTCATTTCCTGATTCCCACTTAGGCCCAATTTGTAGGAATGTTGTGATGGTAAAATAGGAAGAAATACGAACAAGCCCACCATTGTAAAGGAGAGGCAAGATATGAATGTTGCTAAACTGAGCACAAATGTCCTGCCTGTGGCTGGCGCTAGTCCTTGCCTCACCCATGCGGCCCCACACATCACAACAACAACGAGAGGCGCATGAATGTTGCCGTTGTGCTTTCCCCGTGACATCACCCTCTCTTTATAACCCAGGAGCTATTTCGGAGATGCCCACAGCAGCAGCTGCTCCCATTATGTGTTCGTAATTCTGGCACACACACATACACAGAGTGCACCGAGAAAGGGACCGTGCAGCGAGTGAAACCAACCACTCCCCTGAATCCTCCAGAAACGCCGAAATTAGAACCCGAAGTCAACTCCTGGCCACTTCTGGCATTTATCTACAGCTTATTTTTGGAGCCTAACAAGCACTCTGTGGGCAGAGGATCCCGAGCGCTTTGCAGTTGCCTATCCTAGCCTTAAAGCTGGAGAAGGGAGAAAGCAGGTGGGCAGTGGTCCCAAGAACGCCCAAGCAATGCCGAATATATGTGCTAGTATACAACAATATGTTAAGGTTAAGTCTGGACAAAGAGTTTGGAGTTTATTTTGAGTGAAAGGAAAACTTGTATAAGAAAATATAAAGGTGGTATTCGGCACTATAATGTATAATGGCAATTCTAATCAATGCTGGAAAACTGAGAAAAATGTTGGGACGCTTTATCATATGCTGTGTGTTTTTGCAGAAAGGGCCAGAAATATTGGACTCAAATACATACAATGCTAGAAAAAACTTTTAAGGTTAATGTATTGTCGAAGGCTTTCATGGTCGGAATCACTGGGTTGTTGTAGGTTTTCCCGGGCTATATGGCCATGTTCTAGAGGCATTTTCTCCTGACGTTTCGCCTGCATCTATGGCAAGCATCCTCAGAGGTAGTGAGGTCTGTTGGAAGTAGCAAAATGGGTTTATATATCTGTGCAATGAACAAAATCTGGCTACCAGTATTAAAAAACTCAAAAATTACAACAGCAAAACAACAGAGAGTAAACAATCAGGCACATCAAATCACTCTCAACAAAAGATTCCCCCCAGGCACTTCCAAGCCATTAAATGCTAATCAAGGTGGTCAGTTGAAACATTCACACCTAGCTCCAGCAGACAAAAGTCCTTTGTCCCACCCTGGTCATTCCACAGATATATAAACCCATTTTCCTAGTTCCAACAGACCTCACTACCTCTGAGGATGCTTGCCATAGATGCAGGCGAAACGTCAGGAGAAAATGCCTATTGGCCATATAGCCCGGAAAAACCTACAACAACCCACTGTTAAGGTTAAGATCATTATTTGTTGGGAATGCTAGACAATTTATGAGAAAACAAACATGGAAGATTACTACAATATTTTGTTTTGGAATGCTTTTAATGTTTGCCGCTTTCAGTCTCCTTATGGAGAGAAAAAACGATGTAAATAAACATAATAACAACAACAATAACAACATGTTTTCAAAGGCATTTATGGCCAGAATCACCGAGTTGCTGTGAGGTTTCAAGGGTGTCTGGCCATGTTCCAGAAGCATTCTCTCCTGACATTTCTCCCACATCTATGGCAGGCATCCTCAGAGGTTGTGAGGTCTGTTGGAAACTAGGCAAGTGAGGTTTATATATCTGTGGAATATCCAGGGTGGAAGAAAGAACTCTTGTCTGCTTGAGGAAAGTGTGAATGTTGCAAATTGCCATCTTGCAGCCAGGAAGCAGTCAGGCTTTGAAGCTGCAAGGTCACAAGCTGACCAATTGCAACATTCACACTTGGAAACTAGGCAAGTGGAATAATGTGAAGGGTGGGAGAAAGAACTCTTGTCTGTTTGAGGCAAGTGTGAATGTTGCAATTGGTCAGCTTGATAAGCATTGAATGGCCTTGCAGCTTCAAAGCCTGGCTGCGTCCTGGCTGCAAGGCTATTCAAAGCTAATCAAGGTGGCAAATTGCAACATTCAGACTTGCTTCAAGCAGACAAGAGTTCTTTCTCCAACCCTGGACATTATTCCACAATATATAAACTTCACTTGCCTAGTTTCCAACAGACCTCACAACCTCTGAGGATGCCTGCCATAGATGTGGGCAAAACATCAGAGAGAATGCTTCTGGAACATGGCCATACAGCCCAGAAAACTCACAGCAACCCAACAACAACAACAATTGGATATGTTCAGAGATGGAAGACCCTAGTTATCTCAAGAAGATCTGCAAATTAGCTGATATGGACAAACTGACAACACTAATCAAAGAGAAACCTTTGATGAACTTTGAGAAAGAATAGGACTTTTCACAACAACTTTGGGGCAAATGTCAATTGAAGGGTTCATGAATTAGACAAGTGTAACCAAAAGTAGAAGTGTGGGATGTTGGTAGAATTGTCTCTGTGTTTATGTGTTCAGTCGTTAGTAGTATATGATTGTAGGTAAGTGTGTCTTCAGGGTGATTGTTTTCTATTTGGTTCTATAGCAGGTAGCTAAATAGCTGCATAGTATTAGTAATATCTATTGCAAAAACTCTTCTTCTTTTTTGAATTATTGTTGCTCTTTTACCATATATATATATACCAGCAATCCCCTGCCACGTGTTGCTGTGGCCCAGTCTGTTGGTCTGGAAAATAAAGTAATGATAAAGTGTTGGTTTCTAATATATGTAATGTCTTTATACTTGTGGGTAAACAGTATTTCTTGCTGTGTCTTTGTCAGTGTTGATGTGGAGAGTGTCTGGTGTGCCTACTCTGGAACAGGCAACATATCATTGTCCTTCTTTAAGGGTGCCTTTCAAATCTATGATACTATATCTGTGTGTGTGTGAATCATATCTATCTATCTATCATCCTATCTATCTATCTCTATGGTTGGATGGCTCTTTGTCAGAAGGGCTTTGATTACATTTTCCTGCCCTGATGAATGGAGTTGGATTGGATGGCCTTAAGTATTTTCTGTTGGTCATGGGGGTTCTGTGTGGGAAGTTTGCCCCGATTCTGTCGTTCGTGGGGTTCAGAATGCTCTTTGATTGTAGGTGAACTGTGAATCCCAGTGACTACAACTCCCAAATGTCAAGGTCTATTTCCCCAAACTCCATCTGTGTTCATATTTGGGCGTATTGAGTGCTTGTGCCAAATTTGGTCCAGATCCATCATTGTTTGAGTCTACAGTGCTCTCTGGATGTACCGTATATTCCGGCATATAAGACGACTGGGGGTATAAGACGACTCCCAACTTTTCCAGTTAAAATATAGAGTTAAGACGACAGCCATGCATAAGACTACACCCGCATATAAGACGACCCCTGACTTTTGAGAAGATTTTCTTGGGTTAAAAAGTAGTCTTATACGCCAGAATATACTGGTGAACTACAACTCCAAAACTCAAGGTCAATGCCCACCAAACCCTTCCAGTATTTTCTGTTGGACATGGGAGTTCTGTGTGCCAAGTTTGGTTCAATTCCATCGTTGTTGGAGTTCAGAATGCTCTTTGATTGTAGGTGAACTATAAATCCCAGCAACTACAACTCCCAAATGACAAAAGCATATTTTTTTGAGTGATGGTCACTCCTTGTGTTGTGAGAAGTTTTGTTGCCAAATTTGCTGTGATTTCGTTCATTGGTTCTTTTGTTTTTAAGGTACTCGTGATGCACAGAGCATTTTTAGATAGATAGATAGATAGATAGATAGATAGATAGATAGATAGATAGATAGATAGAAAGATAGAAAGATAGATAGATAGATAGATAGATAGATAGATAGATAGATAGATAGATAGATAGATAGGGAAAGAAAACATTAAGGTATATAAAAGGAAGTGTTCTTACCCATGAGGGAAAGTAGGCTTCGGGCTCAAAGTACTTCCCAAAGTGCTTGTTCCGCTTGAAGTTGCCCAAGTCGGCTTGCAAGGCGAAAGCGGCCAGGAGAAAGTACGCCTCTTCCCGCAACATGCATTGGGAGCGCAGGACCTGCTTCCTCAGGTGCCAATAGTAATAATAGCGGGCCGTTCGGTCACTGTAGGGAGAAAAGGGGAATGGAGGAAGAATGGAGAAGACACTGTCATAAAGTGGAAGGCATTAACCAAGGAGAAAAAGTGAAACCCAAATCTGGGGGATTTATTTATTTATTTATCGTGTCAGGCAACCGAACAGTTGTATTGCATTTTTGACAGAAACAAACAAACAACAAAATACAAAGTTTGCAAGCTTGGTAGTTGATTAAATGTCCTTTGACCAGTATCTGGCCACTTGGCGTGCTTCTGGTGTTGCCGCAAGAAGGTCCTCCATTGTGCATGTGGCAGGGCTCAGGTGCATTGCAGCAGGTGGTCAGTGGTTTGCTCTTCTCCACACTCGCATGCAGTGGATTCCACTTTGTGGCCCCATTTCTTGAGGTTGGCTCTGCATCTCGTGGTGCCAGAGCGCAGTCTGTTCAGCGCCTTCCAAGTCGCCCAGTCTTCTGTGTGCCCAGGGGGGAGTCTCTCATTTGGTATCAGCCATTGGTTGATGTTCTGGGTTTGAGCCTGCCACTTTTGGACTCTCGCTTGCTGAGGTGTTCCAGCGAGTGTCTCTGTAGATCTTAGAAAACTATTTCTAGATTTAAGTCGTTGACGTGCTGGCTGATAACCAAACAAGGGATGAGCTGGAGATGTCTCTGCCTTGGTCCTTTCACTATTGGCTGCTACTTCCCGGCGGATGTCAGGTGGTGCAATACCGGCTAGCAGTGTAATTTCTCCAGTGGTGTAGGGCGCAGACACCCCGTGATAATGCGGCATGTCTCATTAAGAGCCACATCCACTGTTTTAGTGTGGTGAGATGTGTTCCACACCGGGTATGCATATTCAGCAGCAGAGTAGCCAAGAGCAAGGGCAGATGTCTTCACTGTGTCTGGTTGTGATCCCCAGGTTGTGCCAGTCAGCTTTCGTATGATATTGTTTCTAGCACCCACTTTTTGCTTGATGTTCAGACAGTGCTTCTTGTAGGTAAGAGCACAGTCCAGAGTGACTCCCAGGGATTTGGGTGTGCTGCAATGCTCCAGTGGGATTCCTTCCCAGGTAATCCTCAGAGCTCTGGATGCTTGTCTGTTCTTAAGGTGAAAGGCACATGTCTGTGTTTTTCATCTGTGGGATGCATCTACACCATGGCTTTTCAAACTGCGTGCCGTAACACTTTAGTGCAGGCTTGGGCAAACTTGGGATTTCCAGGTGTTTTGGACTCCAACATCCACAATTCCTTTATTTATTTATTTATTTATTTTAGAATACAAGCAGGATTAAATAGTAAATTGTTTAAAAATAGGAAGAAATATTTTCTGTGGAAAAACTAGTCTTGAACTAGGGATTCTGCAGACCTACACCTGAATTCCCTCCCATTGAGCTAATCCTGCATACAAGGCTACCAAAAGGGAGCAAATTATGATGATGATGATGATGATGTTGATGATGATTAGATACAAAATAAAATTACTATACAGCCAACAAGATCACTCTGCTGGCCTTTGTATTCAATCATACGTTGGACACTTCCCAAGTATCTAGAACTGTGTGATGTTAACGGTGAATAATGCATGCAGATCTGAGGAAGGTGGCCTTTTGCAGCTGACAGATGGTAATTTTGCCAGTGCTGATTGTTTTTAAGTGCAGGCCAAGGTCTTTAGGCACTTCACCCAGTGTGCAGATCACCACTGGGACCACCTTGACTGGCTTGTGCCAGAGTTGTTGCTGCTACTGTTGTTGTTTTACTGACACAACAAACGAGATATATACACTGGATTTCATATCACAAAAACCATAATTAATAATGCCTGTGCTAAAGTGTTGCCTGCAGTGTGTTAATAAGGCCCTCTCTCATCCCCACCAACTGTACTTGTGACAACGGTGGGAGCGAGAGGCGGGCCTCCCCAGAAGATCTTAGAGTTTGTCAGTGTTGATGTGGAGATTGTCTGGTTTGCCCACCCTGGAACATGCAACATATAATTGTCCTTCTTTAGGAGTTTCAAGTTTGCCCAAGTCTGTCTTTGGTGGGGTTCAGAATGCTCTTTGTATGTGAACTATAAATCCCAGTAACTACAACTCCCAAATGTCAAGGTCTATTTCCACAAACTCCATCTGTGTTCATATTTGGGCATATGGAATAATCATGCCAAGTTTGGTCCAGATCCATCATTGTTTGAGTCCACAGTGGTCTCTGGATGTAGGTGAACTACAACTCCCAAACTCAAGGTCAATGCCCACCAAACCCTTCTAGTGTTTTCTGTTGGTCATGGGAGTCCTGTGTGCCACGTTTGGTTCAATTCCATATTGGTGGAGTTCAGAATGCTCTTTGATTGTAGGTGAACTATAAATCCCAGCAACTACAACTCCCAAATGACAAAATAATTTTTTTTGAGTGAAGGACATACATTGGGTTGTTTGGTGTCTTGTTTCCAAATTTAATGTCAATTCGTCCAGTGGTTTTTGAGTTCTGTTAATCCCACAAGCGAACATTCATTCTATCTATCTAGCCGTCCCCTGCCACATGTTGCTGTGGCCCACATGGGGGTTCTGTGTGGGAGGTTTGGCCCAATTCTATCGTTGGTGAGGTTCAGAATGCTCTGTGATTGTAGGTGAACTATAAATCCAGCAACTACAACTCCCAAATGTCAAGATTCTATTTTCCCCAAACTCCACCAGTGTTCACATTTGAGCATATTGAGTATTCGTGTAGAGTTTGGTCCAGATCCATCATTATTTGAGTCCACAGTGATCTCTGGATGTAGGTGAACTACAACTCCCAAACCAAAGGACAATGCCCACGAAACCCCTCCAGTATTTTCTGTTGGTCATGAGAGAACCGTGTGCCAAGTTTGGAAGAAAGTGGCAAGGAAGTAATAGTGTTGCATTCAATTCTATGCATTGGTGGGGTTCAGGATGCTCTTTGATTGTAGGTGAACTATAAATCCCAGCAACTACAACTCCCAAATGTCAAGATTCTATTTTCCCCAAACTCCACCAGTGTTCACATTTGGGCATATTGAGTATCTGTAGAGTTTGGTCCAGATCCATCATTGTTTGAGTCCACAGTGATCTCTGGATGTAGGTAAACTACAACTCCAAAACCAAAGGACACTACCCACCAAACCCCTCCAGTATTTTCTGTTGGTCATGGGAGAACTGTGTGCCAAGTTCGGAAGAAAGTGGCAAGGAAGTAATAGTGTTGCATTCAATTCTATGCGTTGGTGGAGTTCAGAATGCTCTTTGATTGTAGGTGAACTATAAATCCCAGCAACTACAACTCCCAAATGACAAAATCATTTTTTTTAGTGAAGGACATACATTGGATTGTTAGGTGTATGCTGTCCAAATTTAGTGTCATTTCGTCCAGTGGTTTTTGAGTTCTGTTAATCCCACAAACGAACATTACATTTTTATTTATATAGATAACGGTTTTATTATACTTTTAAATCTGTATTTTATGTATATGATGTGTTGTATTTCCTTTGATTGTTATACAGCATTGAACGGTGCCATATTGTAAGTTGCTCTGAGTCCCTCTTGGGGTGAGAGAGAGCAGGATATAAATATGGTAAATAAATAAATAGGGAATAAATAGCATTTCTTCTTCGCAGTCTTTTTGGCTGTGTTTTGGGGGGAAAGCATGTCCTCTTGTCCCTTTCGTTCAAGCCCCAGGGTGTCCATCATCCTTCTGCCTTACCTGATCAACCGTCCGTTTTCCACGTAATACTGCACTCGAAAGTGAATGATCATCGGGGGACCAAACTGGTCTATGCCCTGTGACCAAAGACAAACAGACAAAAAAGGAAAAACAATCAGCTTTCTGTAAAGGAGGCAGTGTGGTGTTTTAATGCGAATGCAGGAATGATACAGATCATTCAAAGTAGGCGAAGTACCAGGACCTGAAGGCAATAGCATGGCTGCACTCATGTTCTCCAACACCAATGGGCATTGAGAGACACATTGAGAGAAGTTAAAGTGGTTCCAAATTGCATTAGTTCAACAGTGTAAACATGGCATTGACCCAAACGAAATCACCTGCTTGTATCTTGGATAGAAAATGCAGAATTCTTCCTTCCTCAGCTTGCAGAAGGCTCTCTAACATAACAATACTATCAAACAAGGGGTATATGGCTCCAGCCCAGCGTACCTGTCCAGACGTATCTCCTTCTACGTCCTGCCTAGGAATTTAAGATCTTCTGGAGAGGCCCTGCTCTCGGCCCTGCCCTTGTCACAAACGAGACTGGCAGGGACGAGGGACAGGGCCTTCTCGGTGGTGGCCCCCCACCTGTGGAAATTAGACCATCGTCATCCCTCCTCTCTTTTAGAAGGAAATTAAAAACATGGATATGGGACCAGGCCTTTGAGTAATCTGGCAAATTGACAAGAGCTTTGGAATGGATTATGATAAGCTGAATGGACTCACTAATTACAGAACTCGGTGAAACGATGGCCACCAGGCTGGTTTCTTTTTTATTAGATGTTATTGTATTAACTTAGTGTTTAATCATTTATAATTACTGTTGTTGTTTATATTACAGTGTTTAATTGTAGGAGCCCCCGATGGCACAGTGGGTTAAACCCCTGTGCCGGCAGGACTGAAGACCGACAGGTCGCAGGTTCGAATCCGGGGAGAGGCGGATGATCTCCCTCTATCAGCTCCAGCTCCTCATGCGGGGACATGAGAGAAGCCTCCCACAAGGATGATAAAAACATCAAATCATCGGCGTCCCCTGGGCAACGTCCTTGCAGACGGCCAATTCTCTCACACCAGAAGTGACTTGCTCTTGACACGACCAAAAAATTGTAAGCATCAAATATGTGCCGGCTGGAAGCCACCCTGAGTCCCCAAAACAAACAAACAAACAAATAAATAAATGGTAGAATCAATGCAACTTGACACTTGAACTGCCATGGCTCAATGCTATGGAATCACAGAAATCGTAGTTTTCTAAGGTCTTTAGTCTTGTGTGGTTTCTGGGTTGTACGGCCATGTTCTAGCAGCATTTTCTCCTGACATTTCACCTTTATCTGTGGCTGGCATGTTCACAGGATCCAGCCACAGATGTAGGCAAAGCGTCAGGAGCAAATGCTGCTAGAACACAGCCATACAGCCTGAAAACCACACAACATTCCAGTGATCCCGGCCGTGAAAGCCTTCAACAATATATCTCTAGTCTTTTCGGCCTGATGCCTCATCAAAGTACAATTTCCAGGATTCCATATTTTGAGTCTTAGAAGTTAAAGTGGATCGAAATTGCATTAGTTCAACAGTGTAAACATGGATGGCTAGCATGCAACTGCCACTATGTGGGGCTTCAGGGAGAAAGAGGCAAAGGCTGGTGAGGAAAGTTTCCACAACTCTTTTGCTTCCAAAATTCTGCATCCAATATGACCGGTGCATCAAATAACACTCTTACTTCATGTTTGCATTGCCTGGTTGTTTACGTTGACCAGCCTCCATCCATCTATGTTATAAAACTAGCAGTTTGGGAACACATTACGATTCAAACACGCACCAAGGTAGAGAAAGCTTGGAAACATCGCCAGATCTTTGGGGAATTGGTTCAGTTGAACTCTGCCAGGAAAATACCAAGAATCAAAGACACAATAGTTACCACCTTGGGCAGATTTAGTACAGGTATGGGCAAACTTGGGCCCTCCAGGTGTTTTGGACTTCAACTCCCACAATTAGAAGGGTTAGAAGGCAGGATCATCAAGTTTGCAGATGACACCAAATTGGGAGGGATAGCCAACACTCCAGAGGACAGGAGCAGGATTCAAAACGATCTTGACAGATTAGAGAGATGAGCCAAAACTAACAAAATGAAGTTCAACAGTGACAAATGCAAGATACTCCACTTTGGCAGAAAAAACGAAATGCAAAGATACAGAATGGGGATGCCTGGCTCGAGAGCAGCATGTGTGAAAAAGATCTTGGAGTCCTCGTGGACAACAAGTTAAACATGAGCCAACAATGTGATGTGGCGGCAAAAAAAGCCAATGGGATTTTGGCCTGCATCAATAGGAGCATAGTCTAGATCTAGGGAAGTAATGCTCCCCATGCTCTATTCTGCTTTGGTTAGACCACACCTGGAATATTGTGTCCAATTCTGGGCACCACAATTCAAGAGAGATATTGACAAGCTGGAATGTGTCCAGAGGAGGGCGACTAAAATGATCAAGGGTCTGGAGAACAAGCCCTATGATGAGCGGCTTAAGGAGCTGGGCATGTTTAGCCTGAAGAAGAGAAGGCTGAGAGGAGATATGATAGCCATGTATAAATATGTGAGAGGAAGCCACAGGGAGGAGGGAGCAAGCTTGTTTTCTGCTTCCTTGGAGACTAGGACGGAACAATGGCTTTCAAACTACAGGAAAGGAGATTCCATCTGAACATGAGAAAGAACTTCCTGACTGTGAGAGGCTGTTCAGCAGTGGAACTCTCTGCCCCGAGTGTGGTGGAGGCTCCTTCTTTGGAAGCTTTTAAACAGAGGCTGGATGGCCATCTGTCAGGGGTGATTTGAATGCAGTATTCCTGCTTCTTGGCAGGGGGTTGGACTGGATGGCCCATGAGGTCTCTTCCAACTCTAGGATTCTATGATTCTATAATTCCTAACAGCCTCAGGCTCCTTCTGTTTCCCCCTCAGCCGCTTAAGCTGAGTAAAGCTTGAATGCTGTTTTTTCTCATGTGTTAACAAAAGTAATTGATCCAAATGACAAAAAATAAGGTCCAAAAGTAAAATAAAATAAAATAAAGGAAACATCCCCATTGGGGAATATACAAGGGTTGAATGAAAAGTAATGCCTTCACCTTCGTTACTTGGGTTTGGATGGGAATATTTTAATAAATCGAACACTGAAATAATCCTTAGAATGTGCTCTTTTAACTTGCTTGAAATTTATCTCTGAGTGATTCGACAAACATCTTGAATCAATCTGTCAGCCTTTTGCTTGTGAAACTTGGTTGTTGCTGTCACAGGACGTCCAACTCTTTGTTTGTAATGCAAGTCAGATGTTCCCACCTCAACGTCTTTAAACTTTCTCACCCAACAATGCACAGTACTCACATCAACACAATCACCATAAAAAGCTTGCATTCTCTGATGAATCTCCTTTGGGGTGACACCTTCTGCTGTCAAGAATTCAATGACTCCACATTGCTTAAGTCCATTGACCGACTGTCTGTGCAGGGTTCCATACTTTGCACTTTAACAACACAACCGTTCAATGCTAAGGCTTCCTGCCAAAATGGAACTGTAGAGGAGAGTCTACTGAACAAGCCAGTACCTGCCGCATACCAGTACTGCCATCTGTTGAGGAGTTACGAAGGTGGAGGCATTACTTTCATTCAACCCTTGTAACACACTATCCAGGATTGCAGAACTGCATGTGCCGCACTTGCAGAATTTTACTCCCGCAAGCTTCAAGTAAATGCAACTGTTACACAATGGCTAAAATAAGTACAAGTGCATGTGTAAAGGAACTCCATGGTTAGTGGACCATAACTTTCCAAAACTACAACAGAGTTGAAAGAGACCACATGGGCCATCTAGTCCAACCCCCTGCAATGCAGGAAAAACACAATCAAAGTATCCCTGACAGGTCTACACTGACCATAAAATGCAGATAGACAACAGCAACACCAAAGCTCACTGCAGCATGGAAAGAGGGAGAGTTGGGATGCTGGTACCTATCCAGAGTCATCTTTGCACTTTAACAACACAACCATAGAATCATAGAATCAAAGAGTTGGAAGAGACTTCGTGGGCCATCCAGTCCAACCCCCAAGAAGCAGGAATATTGCAGGAATATTGCATTCAAATCACCCCTGACAGATGGCCATCCAGCCTCTGTTTAAAAGCTTTCAAAGAAGGAGTCTCCACCACACTCCGGGGCAGAGAGTCCCACTGCTGAACAGCTCTCACAGTCAGGAAGTTCTTCCTCATGTTCAGGTGGGATCTACTTTCTTGTAGTTTGAAGTCATAGTCTCCAGAAAACAAGCTTGCTCCCTCCTCCCAATGGTTTCCTCTCACATATTTATACATGGCTATCATGTCTCCTCTCAGCCCTCTCTTCTTCAGGCTAAACATGCCCAGCTCTTTAAGCCGCTCCTCATAGGGCTTGTTCTCCAGAGCCTTGATCATTTTAGTCGCCCTCCTCTAGACACATTCCAGCTTGTCAATATCTCTCTTGAAATGTGGTGCAATTCGTCCAATGCTAAGGCTTCCTGCCAAAATGGAATACCAGTACTGCCATCTGTTGATGAGTTATGAAGGTGGAGGCATTACTTTTCATTCAACCCTGGTAACTCCAAATATCCCCAGAAGACAAGCTGTTGGGGGATTCTGGAGTGATTCTCCAAAGAAAGCAATCTTTAACTCGTTCTCTATGGACCCAGTCCTCTTCATATTGCAGAAGCAGATAGCAACAGCTGCAAGGGCTCATTTTCCATCTAAACTCCTCACTCACTTGCCAGATCAAGGGACGACAATGTATATCATCAAACCGCAACTCTCATCAACCCCAACAGCATTGCCAAGGTGCAAATGATTGGAATGTTGGAATCTTTGGAGGTTACAAGTTGTGGGCATTTGATGGTGAGGCCAGGAAGCCAACCCATCAGAAGGACAGCAGGGCTACTGCAGCTTCCATCCTCCACTCCTCAACCGACTACACACAGAAACTTGCTGCCTTTGAATCTGGAGACGACTGATAGCTCTTCTGACGTGTTATTGACACCTCCACATCTACCCCCCACCTTTCAATGTCTTCCCAGCTTGTGGTCATAAACACATCTTGTGGCGGTGAGTTCCGCAGTTTGACTCCGCTCTACAAAGAAAAGTGCTCCTTACCTTGCTTGCTTCCTTCTTCCATTCCTTTGGACAGTATTTGTAGAGCTTCTGGGACAACTCCATATAGACGTGCTCATTGTCTGCCAAAGGGAGAAAAAGAACCAAGGGAAAGCTGAATGAGACAGCAGGCCAGGTTCCTTTAAAGGCAGTCGTGATGCACTTGCAGATTGAAGCTGCTCTGCTTTTTAAAGCTGTCTCCATGAATTAGTTTAACTGCTTCTGCTGAGGACAGGGAAAGCCGGAGAGAGGAACTCATTCACGTGTTCCTTTTCAGAAAACTGACATTTAAATATACTATATATACCAGGCATGGGCAAATTTGGGACTCCCGGTGTTTTGGACTTCAACTCCCACAATTCCTAACAGCCGGTTGGCTGTTAGGAATTGTGGGAGTTGCAGTCCAAAACATCTGGAGAGTCCAAGTTTGCCCATGCCTGATATATACACATGCACACTGCATTTCATTCATTGTAGAACGCACTTTCCCCGTATAAATAATATCCCTAAAAAGATGTCTCTTTCTTTTGGTGGTACTGAAATTAGTGTGTGTGTTGTAATCAACAGTGTCTTAGCATCGAAGAAACATCGTGTGTGTGTTTGTGTGTGTGTCCCCATTCCATCAGCGTTGCCTCTGAAAAATCCTGCAAATCTCTTGCGAAGAAAAGTGGACAAATGTCAGCGTGCTGGAAGAAGCAAAGACCACATACATTGAATTGAAGCCATGCTCCTGCTCCATTAACTCCGCTAGACTGGTCACACTGTCTGAATGCCTGATCACCATCTTCCAAAGTAGTTACTCCCAACTCAAGAATGAGAAATGTAATGTTGGAGGACAGGAAAAGAGATGTAAAGATGGGCTTAAGGCCAACTTTAAAAACTGTGGCATAGACACCGAGAACTGGGAAGCCCCGGCCCTTGAGTGCTCTAGCTGGAGGTCAGCTGTGACCAGCAGTCCTGCAGAATTCTAAGAGGCAGGAATGGAGGGTCAAAGGGCGAAACGTGCCAATAGGAAGGCATGTCAAGCCAACCCTGATCAGGACTGCCTTCCGTCTGGAAACCGATGCCCTCACTGCGGGAGAATATGCAGGTCAAGAATAGGGCTCCACAGCCACCTAAGGAACCACTGTTATATACCTGCGAAACCTGGACTGTCTACAGATATCACACTCAACTCCTGGAACGAAAAATCCTCTTAAAAATCCTGCAAATCTCTTGGGAAGACAGGCAAACAAATGTCAGCGTGCTGGAAGAAGCAAAGACCACCAGCATTGAAGCGATGCTCCTCCGCTATCAACTCCACTGGACTGGCCACGTTGTCCGAATGCCCGATCACCGTCTCCCAAAGCAGTGACTCCCAGGTCAAGAAAGGAAAATGGAAGGTTGGTGGACAGGGAAAAAGATTTAAAGATGGGCTTAAAGCTAACCTTAAAAACGATGGCATAGACACCAAGAACTGGGAAGCTCCGGCCTTTGAGAGCTCTAACTGGAGGTCAGCTGTGACCAGCAGTGCTGCAGAATTTGAAAAGGCATGAATAGAGGAAGAAAGGGAGAAACGTGCCAAGAGGAAGGTGCATCAAGCCAAACCCAACCAGGACCGCCTTCCACCTGGATATTGATGTCCTCACTGTGAAAGAACACGCAGATCAAGACTAGTTTCATATTGTGTTTACCCTTCTCTGTCAATAAGCACTGATGTCCCAACAAACTACAACTCCCAGTGATTGCACAGCAAGTAAAGCAGTGCCAAAGTGCATTAATTCTACCATGTAGATACATCCTAAACTAACCACAATTAGCAAACACATAGATGTGACCTCAAACTTTTCCAAATTTGCAAGAACACCCAGCAGGGAAGCGGATAGCCTCATAATGGTACAAAGGCAAGAACAGTGACATATAAATGCAAAAAGGAACCCCAGTTTAATAAAGATGGATTGCTCCATTTGGGACTTACTTTGTATGACGCTGAGTCCAAAAAGGTGGCAGTCCTTCAGCCGCAACAGATCACACACCTGGACAAGTAACTCGTGGCACAATATTTTAACCTGGTAGAAAAAAAGCAAGTGTTTTATTATCTGCTTATTTTAAGAACCATTATTTGCAGATGCAGAATAGTAATCGGAATGACTGGATCTCTCGGACTGAATATCCCTGAGTTTTGGGGAAAGCTTTCCCTTACAACCAACTGACTTGCAGGTCTGCCTGATGCACACATGAAACATAGATTAGGATGATTTAAAAAGTGGGATATTATAATAATCCCTTGATTAGTGGTTAATTCCTCCAGATTCTTAAGCTTTGTGACTACCTTCTTTTGGCAGACAAAAATAGACTTGGGTTGCTGTGAGTTTTCCGGGCTGTCTGGCCATGTTCCAGAAGCATGCTCTCCTGACGTTTTGCCCACATCTATGGCAGGCATCCTCAGAGGTTGTGAGGTCTGTTGCAAACTAGGCAACTGAGATTTATATATCTGTGGAATGATGTCTTGTCTGCTTGAAGCAAGTGTGGATGTTGCAATTGGCCACCTTGATTAGCATTTAATGGCCTTGCAGCTTCAAAGCCTGGCTGTTGCTGCCTGGCTTTCTCTTTCTCTTCTTTCATCTTCATCAGGAAATCTGGATGGGCATCTATTAGGAGGGCTTGGACTGTGTCTCCCAGCCTGGCAGAATGGGGCCAGATAGGATGGCCTTTGTGCATCCCCTTTCCAAACCTAAGATCTGAAGAACAGGCTCAAGTCTCTTCCTTATTTCCTCTTCCTTAGGAAATCTGGATGGCCATCTGTCAGGAGGGCTTGGACTGTGTCTCCCAGCCTGGCAGAATGGGGCCAAATTGGATGGCCTTTGCGTATCCCCTTCCAAATCTAAGATCTGAAGCACAGGCTTAAGTCTCTTCCTTTCCTTCTCTATAAGTTTTTATGCAGAGGCTGGATGGCCATCTGTTAGGAGGGCTTGGATTGTGTCTCACTGTCTGGCAGAAAGGACTTAGAGTAACTAGTAATTCCCAAACTCTAGTACTCCAAGTTTTTTAGACTTCCAACCTTCATAAGCCTCAGTAGAGTCAAGAGATTCTGGGAACAGAACTCGAGAAAAATAACACTTGTTTGCTTGAAGTGAGTGTGAATGTTGCAGTGGGCCACCTTGATTAGCATTTGATGGCCTTGCAGCTTCACAACTGGCTGGTTGCTGCCAGGGGAATCCTTTGTTGGAAGGTATTAGTTGGCCCTGATTGATTCTTGACTGGAATTCCCCTCCCTTTGTTGGGAGGTCAGCTAAAACATCCCAACAAAGGAGTCACCCAGACAGCAACCAGTCAGACTTTGAAGCTGCAAGGCCAGTCAATGCCGATCAAGCTGCCCAATGGCAACAATCACACTGCCTCAAACAGACAAAAGTTCTTTCTCCCACACTGGACATCATGCAAGAGATATATAAACCCACTTGCCTAGTTTGCAACAGACCTCACAACCTCTGAGGATGCCTGCCATAGATGTGGGAGAAACATCAGGAGAGAATGCTTCTAGAACATGGCCATAAAGCCTGAAAAACCTACACTGGACATCATGCCAGATATATAAACCCACTTGCCTAGTTTGCAACAGACCTCACAACCTCTGAGGGTGCCTGCCATAGATGTGGGTGAAACATCAGGAGAGAATGCTTCTAGAACATGGCCATATAACCTGAAAAACCTACAACAACAACCCAGAGATAACAAACCTTTATCTGGTGAGATGGTCAAGAGAAATGCTTTCCTTTTGGTTTTGGGATCTGAAAAAGCTTTATAATGATTAATGGGAGAGAGTTGCCTCAGTTGGGTCAACGTTGTTATTTTATCATGGTCTTGCTTTCAAGTGCTCTGGAACATGGTCGGAAAGCCTGGAAAACTCACCGCAACCCAGTGATTATGGTCATAAAAGCCTTCGACAACACAAAAATAGACTTATTCCTTCTTCATCATCATTGTTCTTATTTACCTCTCTTACCTGAGACTCAAGTGGCTCACAACACTAAAAAAAACTGCAGTTGAAAACACAAAACAAAGCAACATTTTCTTCTTAAATTATGCATTAAATGATGCAGAGCTCGCTCAATCTGCAGGTATATACCTCATGATCAATTCCCCTTTGGGAAGGAAAAAAAATAAAAATGCAGAGTCTAAACAAATCGGTAGTTGAGGTCCTAAATCTGGACTAAGAACCATAAATCTCCGCATGCTGACTTAAATCAGGCTTAAAGGCGCTGCTATATTTCTTTATCTCCTCTCCCTCCTTTCCTGCTTCTTTATGAGTTATGCACCAATTCTGCCACGTAATCCAGCTGAATGGTACTGTTGCATAATAGTAAAAGTGCCACTAAATTCCCCATAAAAGCACATCCATGCATAAATGCACATGCCCATCCATGCGCAATGCACATCCATGCGCAATGGCACTACATTGAGGAGAGAGCGAGCTTGTTTTCTGTTGCTCTAAAGGCTAGGGCATGAAGTAATGTATTCAAAGAGATTCTACCTATGCTGTCTGATAGTTGGACCTGCTCGACAGTGGAATATGCTGCTACTTGAGAGTCCAATGGAGTTCCCTGGAGAATTTTAGGCAATGGCTATCTGTCGAGAGGGCTTTGATGGTGTATTTTTGCATTGCGGAAGGGGTTGGACTAGATACCCTTTGGGGTTCTCTTGGTTGGACTAGATATCCTGAGTGGATTACAGTTTTACATATATAAGGCAAACATTCAATGCCTTTTTGCACAGTAAACAACAACATACAATACACAGACAGAGGTAAAGGCCTTCCCCTTCCATCTCCGGACGTCTGGAGGCGATGTTCAACTCTGGCCATGGGGAGGTGCTCTTGTTCTATTTTTCCATGCCGAGGAGCCTGTTGTCCATAGATTTCTCTGATTGTGTTGCCAGTATGTCTGCATGAGGCACCCTTTTACCTCCTTGCTGAGGCAGTACCTATTTATTTATTGTGTCATCCGCAACCAGAACATTGTATTACATTTCTAACAGAACAAACCAAACAAACAGATTAAAAAACCCCCAAATTTTGCAAACTTGGTAGCTGATTAAATGTCCTTTGACCAGTATCTGGCCACTTGGAGTGCCTCTGGTGTTGCTGCAAGAAGGTCCTCCATTGTGCATGTGGCAGGGCTCAGGTTGCATTGCAGCAGGTGGTCAGTGGTTTGCTCTTCTCCACACTTGCATGTCGTGGATTCCACTTTGTAGCCCCATTTCTGAAGGTTGGCTCTGCATCTCGTGGTGCCAGAGTGCAGTCTGTTCAGCGCCTTCCAAGTCACCCAGTCTTCTGTGTGCCCAGGGGGGAGTCTCTCATTTGGTATCACCCATGAATTGAGGTGCTGGGTTTGGGCCTGCCACTTTTGGACTCTCGCTTGCTGGGGTGTTCCAGCGAGTGTCTCTGCAGATCTAAGAAAACTATTTCTTGATTTAAGTCGTTGACATGCTGGCTGATACCCAAACAGGGATGAGCTGGAGATGTCTCTGCCTTGGTCCTTTCACTATTGGCTGCTACTTCCCGGTGGATGTCAGGTGGTGCAATACCGGCTAAACAGTGTAATTTCTCCAGTGGTGTAGGGCGCAGACACCCCGTGATTATGCGCCATGTCTCATTAAGAGCCACATCTCCTGTGTTAGTGTGGTGAGATGTGTTCCACACTGGCCATGCGGACTCAGCAGCAGAGTAGCATAGCGCAAGGGCAGATGTCTTCACTGTATCTGGTACCTATTGATTTACTCACATTGCATGCTTTCGAACTGTTAGGTAGGCAGAAGCTAGGGCTGACAACCAGGAGCTTATCCTGACTTGCAGCTTTGAACTGCTAACTCTCTGGTTCGCAGATTTTCTTCAGTTAGTGGTTTAACCCACTGCGCTACTGCGGCCCCTATTCACTATTAACCATGGTTTTGAGTTTTCATAATAAGTCCTGGAACATATTGTCTAATGTTATTGTCTAATGTTAATTGCTATTGTTTTAATGTTTATTGCTTGTTTTATGAGTTTATTTATTGTTGTATTTCTTATGCTATTGTTTTATTGATGTGTTAGGCCTCGGCCTCTTGTAAGCCGCACCGAGTCCTTCGGGAGATGTTAGCGGGGTATAAATAAAGGATTATTATTATTATTATTATTATTATTATTATTATTAATACGGCTCCGGCCCTGTTTACCTCTCCGAACGTATTCTCCCCTATGAACCATCAAGATTATTAAGATCGTCTGGAGAGGCCCTGCTCTCGGTCCCACCGGCCTCGCAAGCGCGTCTGGTGGGGACGAGGGACAGGGCCTTCTCGGTGGTGGCCCCTCGACTCTGGAACTCTCTCCCACTGGAGATCAGAACCGCCCCTTCTATCCTGACATTTAGGAAACAGGTGAAGACTTGGTTATGGAGACAGGCATTCGACGAGTGAGCCAACACCCTGAGATATGGATGGAGGATGATGAACAACGATTTTAGTGTGACGACTGACCATTATAGTTATTGATTGTAATTGCTGTTTTAATGTTTTACTCTAATATGAATTATGATGTTTTATTGATTGTATGTGATATTATGGTTGGAAACCGGTCTGAGTCCCTCAAGAGAGGTGAGAAGGTTGGTATACAAAACTTTTAAATAAACAAACAAACAAATAAATAAATAAATAACATTATTATTATTATTATTATTATTATTATTATTATTATTATTTCTCATAGATAGGAAGATCATATGATCATAATATCAATTGCAGAGGGAAAAAATCCACCTAAACATTAGGAGATTCCACCTGAACATTAGGAAGAACTTTCTGACTGTGAGAGCCATTCAGCAGTGGAACTCTCTGCCTTGGAGTGTGGTGGAGGCTCCTTCTTTGGAGGCTTTTAAACAGAGGCTGGATGGCCATCTGTCAGGGGTGCTTTGAATGCAATTTTTTCTACCTCTTGGCAGAATGGGGTTGGAAGAGATGGCCCACGAGGTCTCTTCCAATTCAATGATTCTATGATTAGGAAAAACTTCCTGAAAGTAAGAACTGTTCAGCAATGTTACTTCAGAGTCCTTTTCAGCAGAGATTAGATGGCCATCTGTTGGGAGGGCTCTGATTGTGTTTTCCTACATGATAGAAAAGGGTTGGACTGGAGGGTCCTTGGGGTCTCTACCAATTCTATGATTTGAATCCACTTGTTTGTGTCTCCGGAGCAGCTGCCTTCCTCCTTTCTACACGACACCCCTTCAAATATTTAGAGACTGCGATCATGTCTCCTCTTAACCTTCTCTTCTCCAAGCTAAACATACCTAGCAACCAAAATCATTCCTCGTATATGGTTTCCACCAAGAAAGCATGTGCTAAAGCAATAGTGTGTCAGTGTCAGGCATGGAAGGAATCTTTCGGAGAGGTCTGGAATGGGTTCTAGCACCATAGCGCATCTACACTGTAGAATCAATGCAATTTGGCACCACTTTAACTGCCATGGTTTAATTCTATGGAATCCTAGGAGTTGTATTTTGGTGACACACCAACACTCCACAAGTCAAGAAAACTAAACACTGTGTGCAACTGCAGCTTCCCATAATTTCATGTCATTGAGCCATGGTGCCAAACTGCATTAACTCTGCAATGTAGATGCACCCCAAATTTCCACTGGAAGAAGCAGTGTGATTATAGAATCAAAGAATCATAGAATCAAAGAGTTGGAAGAGACCTCCTGGGCCATCCAGTCCAACCCCATTCTGCCAAGAAGCAGGAATATTGCATTCAAATCACCCCTGACAGATGGCCATCCAGCCTCTGTTTAAAAGCTTCCAAAGAAGGAGCCTCCACCACACGCAGAGAGTTCCACTGCTGAACGGCTCTCACAGTCAGGAAGTTCTTCCTCATGTTCAGATGGAATCTCCTTTCTTGTAGTTTGAAGCCATTATTCCTTGTCCTAATCTCCATGGAAGTAAACAAGCTTGCTCCCTCCTCCCTGTGGCTTCCTCTCACATATTTATACATGGCTATCATATCTCCTCTCAGCCTTCTCTTCTTCAGGCTAAACATGCCCAGCTCCTTAAGCCGCTCCTCATATGGCTTGTTCTCCAGACCTGATCATTTTAGTCGCCCTCCTCTGGACACATTCCATGTCATTGAGCCATGGTGCCAAACTGCATTGATTCTGCAATGTAGATACACCCCAAATTTCCACTGGGAGCAGCAATGTGATTGGTAGACAGCGTTCTCTTCAAGTATCATACAAGGGTTGAATGAAAAGTAATGCCTCCATCTTCGTAACTCCTCAACAGATGGCAGTACTGGTATGTGGCAGGTACTGCTTGTTCAGTAGACTCTCCTCTACAGTTCCATTTTGGCAGGAAATCTTAGCATTGAATGGTTTTATTATTTATTTACTGTCTTTATACCCTGCTCTTCTCAACCCCAAAGGGGACTCAGAGCAGTTGTGCTGTTAAAGTGTGACGTAGGGGGAACCCTGAGCAGACGGTCTGTCAATGCAACTTAAGCAACATGCAGTCATTAAATTCTTGACAGCAGAAGGTGTCACCCCAAAGGGGATTCATCTGAGAATGCAAGCTGTTTATGGGGATTGTGTTGATGTGAGTGCTGTGCATCATTGGGCGAGAAAGTTTAAAGATGTTGAGGTGGGAACATCTGACTTGCAAGACAAACAAAGAGTTGGACGTCCTGTAACAGCAACCACCAAGTTTCACAAGCAAAACGTTGACAGATTGATTCAGGACGATCGTCGTATCGCTCAGAGAGAAATTTCAAGCATAATCGACATTTCACAAGAACATGTGGGTCACATTATTGCTTTGCTTTTCTATCAGAAGATCTGCGCACGATGGGTTGCAGAAGCAGAGTGTCAACTTCTTCCATAATGGCTTCAGGAAACTTGTTCATAGTTGGCAGAAATGTATCCAATTGTTTGGTGATTATGTCAAAAAGTGAATAGTGGTAATTAAAGAGCACATTCTAAGGATTATTTCTGCATTTGATTTATTAAAATATTCCCATCCAAACCCAAGTAATGAGGGTGGAGGCATTACTTTTCATTCAACTCTCGTACAATTCGGGCAATATACAAACCTTCATCTGCATGAGTAAGAAAGGTTGCCAGTTTGAAGCGCCGGATCGGCATAAGCTCCCAACTGTCAGCCCAGCTTACTGTTGACTTAAGCAGTTCGAAGACAGATTGAGCAGTAAATAGAGAAATTTGGTACTGCTAAAACAAGCGGGGGAGGTATTTTATGATACCAATACAAAAGATCAGAAAATGCCAGGCAACCAAAAGGAAGGAGGAAGCCTTGATGGCTCTTCGTCATAGAGGAAGGTGCAACAGCGCAACCCTTGTGGCTGGATTTGAGCACAACCTCCAGGGCACCAAAAACGCTGGACGTAGACACAACAGACCTCCTTTCTGTTCTCTCTGTCTCTGTCTATCCAAAATGGCACTGAAAGTTTGCCATGTATGTGTACTGTGCTCCACCCTAAGTCCCTTGGGGAGATGAGGCAGAATATAAATAATGTGTTAGATTAGTACACAGCAAACAGGATCACTATGCTGGTAGTTGTATTGTATCACACATCGGATACTTCCCAAGTGTCTAGGACTCTGTGATGTATCGGTGAATAATGCGAGCAGATCCCAGTAAGGTGGCCTTTTGCAGCTGGCAGCTGGTAATCTTGTCAGCGCCGATTGTGTTTAAGTGCAGGCCAAGGCCTTTAGGCACTGCACCTAGTATGCTGATCACCACTGGGACCCCCTTGACTGGCTTGTGCCACAGTCTTTGCAGTTCGATCTCTAAATCCTTGTATCGTGTCAGCTTTTCCAGTTGCCTCTCTTCAATCCTGCTGTTGCCTGGGATGGCAACATATTATCATCATCATCATCATCATCATCATCATCATCATTGATACAAAAGCACAGTATGTCACAGCAAATGAGATCTATATGCTGGATTTCTTATCACAAAATCACAAGTCGAACACTTCCCAAGCGTCTAGGACTATGTGATGTATTTTCGAATGATGCGCGCAGATCCAAGTCAGGTGGCCTTTTGCAGTTGACAGATTGTGATTTTGTCAGTGTTTATTGTTTCCAAATGCCGGCTGAGATCTTTTGGCATGGCACCCAGTGTGCAATTATTACCATGGGACCATCTGTACTGGTTTAGGCCAGAGTTTTTGCAGTTCGATTTTGAGGTCTTGATAGCGGCAGAGTTTTTCCTGTTGTTTTTCCTCAATGCGACTGTCACCCAGTATGGCGACATCAATAATCCAGACTTTTTTCTTTTCCACAATCGTGATGTCTGGCGTATTATGTTCCAAAACTTTGTCAGTCCGGATTTGAAAGTCCCACAGTATTTTTGCATGTTCATTTTCCACGACCTTGGCGGGTTTATGATCCCACCAATTCTTTACTGCTGGCAGGTGGTCCTTGTGACATAAGTTTCAGTGAATCATTTGGGCCACAGAGTTGTGCCTCTGTTTATAGTCCGTCTGTGCGATTTTCTTGCAACAGCTGAGGAGATGGTCCATGGTTTCATCCACTTCTTTGCACAGTCTGCATTTTGGGTCATCAGCTGGGGTTGTTGTTATTTATTATTATTATTATTATTATTATTATTATTATTATTATTATCATCATCATCATCATCTTGGAGTCTTTATAGACAACAAGATGAACATGAGCACAGTCTGCATTTTGGGTCATCCGCTGATTTTTCGATCTTGGCCTTAATTGTATTGGTTCTGATGGCTTGCTCCTGGGCTGCAGGAATCAGGCCTTCTTCTGTCTCCTTCTTCAGGGAGCCATTCGTGAGCCATCACCAGGTCTTCTCCTTGTCAATCTTGTCATGGTGGGGGGCTTAACTGCTCCAAGGATGCTGAGAGCTGTGCTGGCGGTAGTGTAACTACCAGCAGGTCCAACTAAGCCAGAGAGGTCTCAGCTGAGGAATGGAACCAAGAGCACCTACCCATTAGAACAATGGCTTTAATCTGAACATGAGGAAGAACTTCCTGACTGTGAGAGTCATTCAGCAGTGGAACTCTCTGCCTCAGAATGTGGTGGAGGCTCCTTCTTTGGAAGCTTTTAAACAGAAGCTGGATGGCCATCTGTCAGGGGTGATTTGAATGCAATATCCCTGCTTCTTGGCAGGGGGTTGGACTGGATGGCCCATGAGGTCTCTTCCAACTCTTTGATTCTATGATTCTATGGAGAAGCAAACCAAAACGAAGTCTATACTGGCTCGGTCGACGCCCAGGATAAAAAAGACCGCGGTGGATGCTGCTGATTCTGGACATCCATCGACAAGTGGGCTACAGAATCAAAATACAAATGAACCATCACAGAAGCGGCACAAATATACAATGCCAGAAAACCGCACAATAATAATAATAATAATAATAATAATAATAATAATAATAATAATACACCAATGGGATTCTGGTTTCTGTCCCAAATCATTCTTTGGGAAAGGAGCTGCCAGCCAACTTACATTTATGATGATGTTGAGGGAATCATCATTGGGGAGGAAAATACACACGCTGCGTCGGTCCTGCATGACTCTGTTATTGTGGAAGTTCAGTTTGTTCATCGTGTTCCGGGCCCTCCCTGTGGATCCGTGTTCGAGTCTCTCCGGGACCGAGTGCAAGCATCAGAAGAGGAGCATTCAGCAGGTAAAGCGCTCCTCTTCGTCACCCAAGGCACAGCAGGCTGGGCATCCTGGCGCTTCTCCCTCGGGGTGCCATCTCTGCAAAGGAAAGGAAGCAAGGATGTTAAGACACTGCAAACCCCAAGAAGGACTTGGCCAAGCCCCCCCTGATTTGTTGCAAAAAATATTATGGTGGAAGGACAATGTCCACCTGGGATGGACACCACAATTCAAGAGAGATATTGACAAGCTGGAATGTGTCCAGAGGAGGGCGACTAAAATGATCAAGGGTCTGGAGAACAAGCCCTATGAGGAGCGGCTTAAGGAGCTGGGCATGTTTAGCCTGAAGAAGAGAAGGCTGAGAGGATATGATAGCCATGTATAAATATGTGAGAGGAAGCCACAGGGAGGAGGGAGCAAGCTTGTTTTCTGCTTCCTTGGAGACTAGGACACGGAACAATGGCTTCAAACTACAAGAGAGGAGATTCCCTCTGAACATTAGGAAGAACTTCCTGACTGTGAGAGCCGTTCAGCAGTGGAACTCTCTGCCCCGGAGTGTGGTGGAGGCTCCTTCTTTGGAAGCTTTTAAACGGAGGCTGGATGGCCATCTGTCAGGGGTGATTTGAATGGAATCTTCCTGCTTCTTGGCAGAATGGGGTTGGACTGGATGGCCCATGAGGTCTCTTCCAACTCTATGATTCTTGCATTTCTCTTTGTGGGGCTATAGGACCATAAATCATGTTCTATAGCAGTGGTTCTCAACCTGGGGTCCCCAGATGTTTTTGGCCTACAACTCCCAGAAATCTCAGCCAGTTTATCAGCTGTTAGGATTTCTGGGAGTTGTAGGCCAAAAACATCTGGGGACCCTAGGTTGAGAACCACTGTTCTAGGAGAAAATGCCTCTAGAACATGGCCATATAGCCCGAAAAAAAGCCACAAGAACCTAGTGATTCCAGCCATGAAAGCCTTCGACAATACATCTTTGATTCCATGATTCTCTGATGCTGGTTTGTTTTTTTTTTTGGACTGTATGGCTATGTTTCAGCAGCATTCTCTCCTGACTTTACGTCTGCATCTGTAGCTAATGGCATCTTTAGAGGTTGGACCGGGCTGTAGAACAGTTGGCTGGGAGTCAGCTGCATTAAAATCACGACCTGACCAAGAGGTCATGAGTTTGAAGCCAGCCCGGGTCAGAGTTGCACCAGATACAAGAAATGTGCCATGAAACTCTTGAAGTATTTCAGTTATTTTGGCAGAATAGGTTGGAGTCCTTGGAAACAACAACAATAACAGGCTGGAGTAATGTATTGTCGAAGGCTTTCATGCCTGAATCACTAGGTTCTTGTGGGTTTTTTCGGGCTATAGGGCCATGTTCTAGAGGCATTTCTCCTGACGTTTCGCCTGCATCTATGGCAAGCATCCTCAGAGGTAGTGAGGTCTGTTGGAAGTAGGAAAAAGGGTTTATATATCTGTGGAATGAGCAGGGTGGGACAAAAATCCACAAGCATATGGACAATTTCAACAGAAAGGAAGAGACCATGAAAATGAACAAAATCTGGCTACCAGTATTAAAAAACTCTAAAATTACAACAGTAAAACAGCAGAGAGGAAACAACCAGGCACATCTTAACACCTCTCAACAAAAGATTTTCCCAGGCTCAGCCAGGCCTTCAAATGCTAATGAAGGTGGTCAGTTGAAACATTCACACCTAGCTCCAGCAGAGAAGAGCTCTTTGCCCCACCCCAGCCATTCCACAGATATATAAACCCATTGTCCTAATTCCAATAGACCTCACTACCTCTGAGGATGCTTGCCATAGATGCAGGCGAAACGTCAGGAGAATTGCCTCTAGAACATGGCCCTATAGCCTGAAAAAACCCACAAGAACCTACAGGCTGGAGTCCTTGGAAAACTATATCTCTCAAGATTCCACAGCATGGAGTCATGGCAGTTAAAGCGATATGAAACTGTATAAATGCTACACCCATGGAAAAGGACAGCTGAGAGGAAGAGATGACAAAAGGACAAGGCATTTCTTTATTGGCTCCGAAAAAGCTGGGGCGCCGCGTGGCTTGAGCCGAAATGGCTTTGGTCACTGTTTTATTTGTGGCTCTCTGACCAAGCCACCGCCCGCTCTCCAAAACACCCAATGAAAGGGATCCACCCCATATAAATTCCACAGCCTTTGTCCAAGCGGCCGGAGTTGAAACTGAGGGCTCTTTGTCCTGGGAAACCTTGAAAAGCAAGCAAATATTCCAGGGAAGCCACGGTCTGTAGAGACCTATTCCAGATCCACATATCTGGATCTCAGATACATACTTCTCCACATGCATCTCAAAAATAGCTTCCCCATTCACACAGCTTCTACTGATGACATCAACTGCCTTCTCACATTTTCACAAATTATAATCAATGCAACAATCACTTTATGTATCCTACTTATATCCCACCATCCTTGCAATATGTCCCTCAAGGTGCTCGTAACTCAGATGAGAATAAAGGGAAACACAAAATGAACCACAACTGTGTAGACTACTGAATAGTCTGTGCTTATAAGAACCCTCCCTAGAAGCCCAGATGGCTAAACTAAGGCTGGCATACTTTGACTATGTTGTTGTTGTTCATTCGTTCAGTCGTCTCTGACTCTTCGTGACCTCATGGACCAGTCCACGCCAGAGCTCCCTGTCGGCCGTCACCACCCCCAGCTCCTTCAAGGTCAGTCCAGTCACTTCAAGGGTTTAGTCACTTTGACTATAGCATAAGGTTAGACACCAAATTGGAAGGGAGAGCCAATACTCCAGAGGACAGGAGCAGGATTCAAAACGATCTTGACAGATTAGAGAGATGATGGGCCAAAACTAACAAAATGAAGTTCAACAGGGACAAATGCAAGATACTCCACTTTGGCAGGAAAAACGAAATGCAAAGATACAGAATGGGGGACGATGATGTCTGGCTCAAGAGCAGTATGTGTGAAAAAGATCTTGGAGTCCTTGTGGACAGCAAGTTAAACATGAGCCAACAATGTGACGTGGGATTTTGGCTTGCATTAATAGGGGCCTAGTGTCTAGATCTAGGGAAGTAATGCTACCCCTCTATTCTGCTTTGGTTAGACCACACCTGGAATATTGTGTCCAATTCTGGGCACCACAGTTCAAGAGAGATATTGACAAGCTGGAATGTGTCCAAAGGAGGGCGACTCAAATGATCAAGGGTCTGGAGAACAAGCCCTATGAGGAGCGGCTTAAGGAGCTGGGCATGTTTAGCCTGAAGAAGAGAAGGCTGAGAGGAGACATGATAGCCATGTATAAATATGTGAGAGGAAGCCACAGGGAGGAGGGAGCAAGCTTGTTTTCTGCTTCCCTGGAGACTAGGACGCAATGGGACAATGGCTTCAAACTACAAGAAAGGAGATTCCATCTGAACATTAGGAAGAACTTCCTGACTGTGAGAGCCGTTCAGCAGTGGAACTCTCTGCCCCGGAGTGTGGTGGAGGCTCCTTCTTTGGAAGCTTTTAAACAGAGGCTGGATGGCCATCTGTCAGGGGTGATTTGAATGCAATATTCCTGCTTCTTGGCAGAATGGGGTTGGACTGGATGGCCCATGAGGTCTCTTCCAACTCTAGGATTCTATGATTCTATAAGCAGCCATGTAAACAGAATCATAGAGTTGGAAAGACTCCAAGGACCATCTAGTCCAGTGGTTCCTAACCTGTGGTCCGTGGACCACTGCCACTTCAGTCCCCAAGAACTAAAACATGGTTTGCGGCATCACCGTTACTACACTGTTGCAATGAGAGCAACTGGTCTTGCAAAACCCTCTTATAGTGCAGAAGCTTATTAAATATCATCAATGTAATGTCAACGGCTTTCATGGCTGAAATTATTAAATATGGTTTTCTGTGGGTGAGCAGATGGCAACTACTGGATGGAATATGTTCTGTATCTGGAACTAAAGCTGATGTGTTCTATCCAATGCGATTTTCTGAATCGGCACCCCAAATAACCAAACTGAATCTAAAGTTGACCAAAAACTGATTCGTAACCCTTTTGGTACTAATGTTGGAGAGTGGTCCCTGGTCAAAAGAAGGTTGGGAACCACTGATCTAGTCCTATCCCATTCTTCCAGGCAGGAATACACAATCCAAGCCCTCCTGATAGATGACCATACAGCCTCTGCTTAAGAAGGAGATTCCACCAGACTCTAAAGTAGCATATTTCACTGTTGACCAACTCCAAACTAATGCTCTCTCAAAGCATGATGGAGTCTTCTTCTCTGAAGGGTGGACTGAATGGACATCTGTCGGGAGTGCTTTGATTCTATTTTCCTGCATGGTAGACAGTTGCATTGGATGGCTCTAGTGGTCTCTTCCAACTCTTTGATCCTATGATCTCTAGGATTATATTGATGCAGCCTAGAATCACATTGGGCTTTTTAGTTGTTGCATCACCTGGTGGTGCAGTAGGTTAAACCGCTGAGCTGCTTAACTTGCTGACCCAAAGGTCGTAGGTTCGAATCTGAAGAGTGGAGTGAGCTCCTGCTATTAGCCCCAGCTTCTGCCAACCTAGCAGTTCAAAAACATGCCAATGTGAGTAGATCAAAAACATGCCAATGTGAGTAGATTACCACTCCGGCGGGAAGGTAACGGCGCTCCATGCAGTCATGCCGGCCACATGATCTTGGAGGTGTCTACAGATAACACCGGCTCTTCGGCTTAGGAATGGAGATGAGAACCAACCTCCAGAGTCAGACACAACTATGCTTAATGCCAGGGGAAAACCTTTACCTGTCACACTATTGACCCCTGTTCAAGTTTATGGTTCATTAAGACTTCAAGATCCCTTTCGCTTGGGCTGTTTTCAAGCCAGATGTGTCACTCATCCTGTCTCTGTGCATTTACTAACTGACATTTCTCCCTGTTGAAATTCATGTTGGTAGTTTGGTCCCAACTTTGTAATAGGTGTGGGCTTGGCAAGACAGAAGGCAAGTAGAAAAGAGGAAGATTGCATTAGACTACTGCAACGCTCTCTACGTGGGGTTGCCCTTGAAGACGGCCCGGAAGCTTCAATTGGTCCAACGTGCGGCAGCCATGATACTA